TAGTAAAGGAGAAGAAGAAATGCTTAAAGAGTTAGTAAATAAACTTAAAGAACAAGGAGTTAAAGCAGTAATTTGTGGAGGAAATGTTCAAGATTTAGCATTACATTATTGTGATAGAGCAGGTATTATTGTCATTCGTGTAGGATCAACATTTGATTTAAAAAGATTATGTCGTGTTACTGGAGCTACTCCATTTATTAGTTTAACAACAGAATGTGATTCAGGTAATTTTGGTATGTGTGAAAAAATTTATGTACAAGAAATTGGTAGTACTAAATGTACTGTTTTTGAACGTAAAGAATCTGCTGCTGTAACAACAATAGTTGTTCGTGGATCAACACAAAATATTTTAGATGATATTGAACAAGCTATTGACGATTGTGTTTGTGAATTTAAAATTCTTGAAAGGCATAAAAAATTTGTTGGAGGAGCTGGTGCATTTGAAATTGAAATGTCAAAAAAGATTAGTGAGGTAGGAGATAAATGTGATGGATTAAAACAATATTCTATTAAGAAATATGCAGAAGCATTCCAAATGGTTCCAAGAGTTTTAGCTGAAAATGCAGGACTTGATGCAACTGAAATTCTTTCTGAATTATTTGTAGCACATCAAAACGATATTTCAATGGGAGTTAATGTGGATTCAAATACTCAATTACTTAATACTAAGCAAGAGATGGTATTTGATAATTTAGAAGCAAAAAAGAATGCTATTAAGTTAGCAACTAATATTGCAACTACTATTCTTCTTGTTGATCAAATAGTAATGCAAAAACCTGCAGGAGGTCCAAAGATTCCACAACAAAGAATGCAAGGACCAATGGATCAGAATGATGCTGGATTTTAATTTGATTTTCTTATGGTTCATTTTAATGGTTTTTTTTATTGTTATTGAATAATAAATTAAACTAAACCCAAAATTAGTAAAACTAAATCATTTATTTTTATTGTTTTCTCTTACCATTATATTTAGAAAACTTCAAGTACATTCAAGTTTCTAGTAAAATCATCAATTTTCTTGGCTTTCATAGATGGGTTTTCTAAGATTTTATTGATTCTAGCCTTTTCTTTTTCTACATAATCTGCTCCTCTCTCAATAATTCTTTTCATGACTTTAACGTAATAAGCTCCTCCTTCAATTGCCTCAGCTTTTTTTATAATTTCATCTTTATTTTCTTTATTAGCAAATCCTTTAGCAAGGTCATCAAGTTCAGCAATTCTTCCAGCAGTTTTACCTAATTTTCCATTCTCATCTCTATCATATCCATAATTGGTATTGAAGTAGGTAACAAAGTCTTTAACTTCTCTTCCTCCTTCATAAGCAATAGGTTTCTTATTTTCTCCCTTTGGGAATGATTTTAAAGTAGGATATCCATGTACTTCATATTTGTTACATGTCTCTTGATTTGCAGTACAATCGACTTCAGCTACAACAAGGTCATCTTCACCGGCATACATCTTGCTAACTTCAATATATTTTGGTGCGAGAGCCTTACAATGTCCACACCATGGAGCAAAGAATTTAACAAAGACATTTTTAGTTGGGTCCATTACAATACTATCAAATGTAGCAGTTGTTACTGAAACAACATTAGATGGTGCTTTAGGTTGAATCTTTTCTTGAATAAAATGAGAAAGATCTTCTACAGTTCTTCCACCTTCATATTCAATTGGTTCAGTAGTTCCTTTTCTGAAGAATTTTAAGGTTGGAAATCCACTAATTCCAAACTTTCCACAGAGGTCTTTGTGGTCTTTATTGTCACAATCAAGTTCAGCAATTACAATGTCTTGTTTATCTTTGTAAGCATCAGCAAGTTTAATATATTCTGGAGCAAGTTTTTTGCAATGTCCACACCATGGAGCAAAGAACTTAACAAAAACATGTTTACTTCCATCAACAATAGTATTGAAGTTTGTTGGATTTAATGATACTACATCAGCAGATACTAAAAAAGTAAGTAAAGTGAAAAGAAGGAATTTCATTAATACTTTATATTTCATCAGTTCTCTTTTATCAGTGTTCTGACAATGTTCCACGTTGACAGAACTAATCTTCTGATTTGTTTTTAATAACATGAACTTTTATTAAATAACTTTATTATTATTTTTTGTTATTATAATATAAAGTCATCAGACTTTGTTGATGTGAAAAATTAATAAGAAAATAGAAGAAAAGAGTTGACAAAATTTTTGGTTTCAATATTAATAAGAAGAATTATTCAAGAAAGTATATACATGTCTTGTCGAATGTATTTCATCTCTATTACATAGGTATTAAAAAGTTCTCTTCATTCTCTCATTAAAATTTCTATATAGAGTTTTAGATATTTAATATTTCTAATAAATTTAATTTCTAATTAATTCTTTTTATTATTTAAATAAGTTGTGTTAAACTAATGTTATTACTATATTAAATAATTTATTGATGATATTGTGTAGTTTTATTCTCACCTTCTTTATTTTATATTAGTTTTTAATTTATTGAATTTCAAATTAATTAATCCATTATTTCCCAACTTACTTTCTTCATACCAAATACCAACTATTAACATACTCATTTAATTATTTGTATTTTGACATGAATATGTATATTCTTAAATCTGGTTGATAGCTATTTATTAACATATAGTTATTACTCATTATGTTGTATTTTATATATGAGTGTTTATTATTTAAGTTTTTAAAGTTATCTCATTTTTCAATATTTACCAATACTTAAACTTATTAATATCATTAAATAAACCATCAAAAAACGTTATCATTAAAAAATGAATTTAAAATATTTAAAATAATTTTAAAATCAAATTAAATTAATTAGTTAATGTAGCATTTCCAAGCATTCATTTTGTGCTTGATGGATTAATTTGATTTCTTCAATTAAAGATTGTTTCTTTTCTAAGATAGTTTTCTTAACTTCTTCTGGTGTTTTGTCGAAATGAACATCGTTAATTTTTAATTCAAGGTCTTTTAAGTTCTTTTCCATTTGTTCTTTCTTTCCAGCTAATCGTTGTGCTTCTTGTTTATAGTCAATGATTCCTGCTAAATGAGAATATATTCTTGTAGAATTATCGACAACATGCATTGGAGATCCTTTATAAATTCCTTCTTTGACGATATTTACTTCACCAATACCAGCTAAACTACTAATAATAACTTCATATCCTTCTAAGTCTCTTTCAGTGACAATAGTACATTTTGGTTTTTGTTTAGAAGTGATAATAGCTTGAGAATAAATTCCATTAAGTGATCTTATTCCTTTAATAATAGTGTAAATATATTTAATTTCTTCATCTAATGCTGGGTTATTAAATTCTTTAATTGGTTCTGGATAACTTGTTACCATAATTGATATTTCTTTATCATTTCTTCTTGGTAATCTTTGCCAAAGTTCTTCTGTGATAAATGGCATAAATGGATGAAGAACTCTTAGTCCAATTTCAATGACATTATATAAGACTTCTTCTGCTGCTCTTCTTCTTTCATTGTCTGGTCCTCTAAATATACCTTTTGATGCTTCTAAATAAACATCACAAAAATCATATAACCAAAATGAATATATTGCTTGTGTAGCATTTCCAAATTCATAGCTTTTGAACCATTGTTGAACTGATGTAATCATAACATTTAATCTATGTAAAATCCATTGATCAAGTCGACTATTTGTTTTCTTAATTTCAAATGTTTCTTGTGCTTTAAAATCTTTTCTAAAGTTCATAGTTGAAAATTTAAATGCATTCCATAATTTATTACAGAAATTTCTATATCCAACAACTCTATTAATATCAAGATTAATATCATGTCCTTGTGTCATATATGCTAATAATGCAAATCTCATTGCATCCGTTCCACATTCTTCAATTCCATTAGGAAAATCTTTTTTTTGTCCTTCTGCTGCAATAACACATTCTTTCTCTGGTAAATTATATGTGTATAATTTATCATTTAATCCTTTTAACGAAATTCCTTCTATAACATCAATTGGATCAATAATGTTTCCTAATGATTTCGACATTTTTCTTCCTTGTGCATCTCTTACAATAGAATGGAATAATACTTCTTTAAATGGTAAACAATCCATAAGTTCTAATGACATCATAACCATTCTTGCTACCCAAAAGAATATAATATCATTTCCTGTTTCTAATAATTCTCCTGGGAAATACTTTTCTAAATCTTTTGTTTGTTCTGGCCATCCCATAACACTAAATGGGAATAATCCGGATGAAAACCATGTATCTAATACATCTGGATCTTGTTTCAATTCAATATCTTCTATATTTACTCCTTTAATTTCTGCTGCTTTCTTTCTTGCTTCTTCTTCACTTCTTGCAACAACCCAATTCTTCATATCAAATTCATCAGCTTCTTTTTCTTTTTTACTCTTTATTAAATATGCTGGAATTCTATGTCCCCACCATAATTGTCTTGAAATACACCAATCATGTATATTTTCTAACCATCTATACCATACATTTTCCATTTCACTTGGATACATTTTTAATTCTCCCTTTCTTACAGCTTCTACTGCTCTTCTTGCCATATTTTTACAATTTACCCACCATTGAGGTTTAATTCTTGGTTCAATAATATCATGACTTCTTGAACAAATTGGTACTCTCATTGCTGATGCTTTAACTCCTTTATATAATCCTTTTTCTTTTAATTTCTCTATTACTGCTTCTCTACATTCAAATCTTTTCATTCCTGCAAACTCTCCACATTCTTGGTTCATAGTTCCATCATCATTTAATATATTAATTATTTTTAATTTATGTCTAATAGCACCATTATAATCATTTGGATCATGTGCTGGTGTGACTTTAACACATCCTGTACCAAATTCCATATCTACTAATTCATCATCTTCTATA